ACACTGTTAATGATGCGAGGATAGGGAGATCAACAAAAAGAGTAGAAAACAGTAACGCAAATATTTAATAAAAATTTTTCGAATGAAAATAATAGGATCTCTAAAAGTACTGTAATCCGTACTATCCAACGTTTCGAGGACATTGGTANCGTTAAAAGCCGTTCAAGATCTGGTAGACGTAAACCAGCAACAAATAATGATAAGGCATTAAATGTTTTACAGTCTTTTGTTGAAAATCCTCATATTTCCATCAATCGCGTTGCACAAGAACACGAAATCGGTCATGCATCTGTCAATAAAATTTTGAAATTGAATAAATGGCATCCATACAAACTCCATTTGTGCCAAGAGTTGTCCGAAGACAATTTTGATAGACGCATCAAATTTTGTGATCTTATGATGGAGATGATTGTCGACTTTCCTCTATTACTTAATAATATTTTTTCTTTGATGTGGCAACATTTAAATTGACTGCAAATGTAAATAGACACAATTGTAGGTACTGGAGTGACGTTAATCCTCACTGGAAAAGAGACAATCATATATCCACAAAAAGTTAACGTATGAGCTGGTACTCTTAATGGTAGACCAGTTGGCCCTTTCTTCATTGAAGGCAATTTGACAGCACAGGTATACACAGTCATGCTTTGCAAACAAATTGTTCCAGTTATTCGAGACATAGCTGGTGGAAATATGGATAAACTTTATTTCCAACAGGATGGAGCTCCACCTCATTATGGTGTCATTGTCCGTCAATATTTGAATGAGGTCTTTCAGGACAAATGGATAGGGAAAAGGGGTCATATTGAGTGGCCACCTCGGTCTTCGGACTTGACCCCACTTGACTTTTTTTGTGGGGTTACTTGAAAAGTAAAGTTTATGCCACCAAGCCTCAAGATTTAGATGATTTAAGAGGGAGAATAACTCAAGAGATAGAACTAATACCGCCGGAAACGTACCGGAATGCGGTTTCAGCTGTTTATAAGAGATTGGCACATTGTCATGCTGTTGAGGGGTAACAATTTGAACATTTGTTGAGAATTGTTTGATACAATTGAATAGTTTGCCCAAGCTGATCAATTGGAATAAAATTCGCCTTAACCTNGTCCNGGCCGGACCCACACGCCACTCTTGTCTTAACTGGCCGGAATCACACGCCAATCTTTCCTTAACTGGCCGGACTCACACGCCACTCTTGTCCTAACTGGCCGGAATCACACGCCACTTAACAAATTGTTAATTTCAAACTTTTATAATTCAAAAAAGTACTTAATGAAACAATATTTTATTATAGTGTTTTGGAAAACTTGAGATAAGCTATAAAAATATGCAATAAAATGTAGGGGGTTCCATTAAAAAAATAAGGTTGACCTTGAAATGACCCTAAAGAACATGGTCAAGATCAAAGTCAAGGTCATCATCTTACTCCTCGCTTGAAATCATACAACTTTGCTATTGGACATTTTCTCCAAAATGCTTTCTAACTGAAGATATTAGGGGGGTCCGATACTTTTCGATGATCCTGTATATGCAGTGTTGCGCTTAGATAAATTAAAATAATCTAGATACAGATTAGATAAAACATATACGTATGTATCTCAGATAAGATAAAGATAATCCGATTTGATCATATCTAGATAAAAGATGATTTAGTTGAGATTTTTATCTAGATAATTTTAAGATATTCAAGAAGTTAGGAAATTAAATAATACATCTCAAGAAAATCTATAGAAAATAAGCATACATTTTAATATACATTATATTTAATATAATATACATTTGAGTATAATAAGCATATTATAAGTAATAAGTAAGTTACATTTATTCTATATATAAGGTTAATGCCCAGATAACCAAGACTGAGTGATCATATTTTGAAAAGTTTGCAATAACACATTATGCCAGTACAATGTAGCCAGCATTCAAACATAATCTGTTATTTCAACTAGTGTCGACAGAAAAACAGAAAAAAAAAGAATATAAATATGTCATGCCGTGATGCAAATATTATTGCATCAATCAAGCAGAACTCAAAAAATGCTCAAAAAATGTAGCAGATTTGAAGCATAACGTGCTATTGTCATTTCATTCTTCATTTATTTCTATATTTTTGCTGTGTTGTTTTCTTTACGTGCCTACATAATTCACTCACTATAATGACACAGCTGAGTGGAATCTGCTGCAAAGTGCTGATTAAACCTGCGTGCATACTGCTGACATACTGCTATCATTTGGCTATCAAGGTGTAAATATATTATAAGGTTTTAGTTTCTAAAAACGATAGTTTTTCAAATGTGCTATCGGATAAACGATTTCTTCGAGGTACAATTATTTGTTATTTTGTACTGAAAAGTCACATTCAGAGTGCGTACTCATTATCTTAGATAATTTACGAAAGATACTACTTTTTTATATCTGAGATACAGATAAAGATGTCATATATTTTAATTATTAAGATACAGATAAAATAAAACAATTATCACATCTAGATGAACATCTAGATAACGGAAAACACTGTGTATATGTTAATGTTTTCAATATTCTAAAGCCTTAAAGTATCACATTTAACTCATTGTTGAGATCGGGAAAGATAAAGGACTTGGTGACGAATAAGATTCTTTTATAGAAAACTGGCGTAGTTTATTACTACCAAGTTTGCAAATTACTGTGCAATAACGCACGCTTATACTGACACTTAGCTGTTGCTTTACTGCGGTAAACTCTCCGGATGGACTCGGAGCCACACAGTATTGTCAACAGCTACTCACGATCTGTCTGTCGTTGCTCGCGATCGATCTTTTAAAGGGATCGATCGCGACCATTCAGCAATTTAGCGACCTAATTGCTACTGCACGTAGACCGCTGACGTTGCGTGCAGCGTCTGTATCCTACTTAATACTACGCTTAACAAGCAGATTTCATTTACAAAGAAATGCTGCTTGTTACCTTTTCAAATAAATTCGGGTCGATTGAGCAATGACGCGTACCTTCCGTAATTGCTCAATGGCCCGTACGAAATTAAATTAAATTTCACTAAATTTCACAACAACATATTACTTATAATTAATACAAAT